TCTATCTATCTATCTATCTATCTATCTATCTATCAGTCGTGGTGCTTCACATGGTGATACGAGCTTCCCCAGTAGCACACACACTTCAGATGGCTCCGGTGTATTGGTGTGGAGCGACACCTGCTGGAAACTGGGTCCAGAGTCCCATACAGAAAAGATACATGAAGAATGTGGTGGCGCATTTCTTGCTAACTTCGCTCTCCACAGGGCCGAGAGAACTACCGTATTACCCCACTCTCCTCGTCCCCCTCCTCCTCCCTCCTTAAATGGCTGTTTTGCACTGAAAAGAGAAAATAATTAATCACTTCCACAATCCATACCCTCTCTACCTCACTAAGCCCAGCTCCACCAAAATTATGAGTCTTCACCCCCTCAAGGAGCTCACACATAGTCACCCGCCCTCTRTCCACAACCRTTTTAGCACCGAGTAGATCCTGTGATCGGCCATAGGCAGCAACTCCCCTAAGGCAGCCCCTGATACTCCAAGAGATGGAGAATGTACCCCCTGCCACAATCTGCAGGCGCGTTCTGGCCACCATGGTCTTCAGGGCGAACCACACGGAGAATACACCAACACCCCAGAAGGGCAAGGTGAAGAGAATAAACCACGGGTTGGGACTAAGGAGGACAAGGACACTGAACCCGCAGGTAAACCCCAACCAAATCACGTAAAAGATCACGGTAAACATCCCAAAAACCAAACCAAGTGGCGGAATGACCAGGACCAGCTCGCTACTGGTCGCTGACATAGAAACCTTGGACCCTGCCGGTTTTTGTTGAAGAGACCGTCTGCCCCTCCCACTCCCACCGGGCAAGACGACAGCTGCATCCAGGCACACAGCTGCATCCAGGCGCACAGCTGCATCTGGGCGCACCTCTACCACAAGTTTCTGACTCCTCAATGCAGAGATCACATCTTGCGCACGCTGGATTCGATCCTCTGGTGCTGGCTCCAACAACTTGTCCAGCACATCTGCCAGATACCCGCTCATCTGCACCTGGTCGCGAAAGTGGATCTTGAGCCGCTTGTGCGGGAAATTCGATGGTTGTCGACCGGACAACAAATACAGCACGGTTCCCCCCAGAGCATAGAGGTCTGCCTGACTTTCAAACCTGTTCTGAGACTGCTCAGGGGCCTGGTATCCATGTGTCTCGAATCCCGTACTGCTACTGGCTCCTACCTTCGGCGCCATCAACCCATCTTGCACCGCCCCGAAACCAGCCACCTTGACATGTCCCTCCCAAGTCGCTTCCAACTTGGCACTCTTAAAGTCAACGATGATGTTGGCCGGCTTGATCTTGCCATGAACTACCCGCCAACTCTCCAGATATGACAGAACTCGAAGTACCTCCACAGCTATATCCACAATGTCCTTCTCAGAGAACCGAAACCCCGGCTTCCACACCAGTTCCTCCAACGACTGACCGTTAGGAATTTTTTGGACAAGATAGAGTGACCGGTAGCCTCCCCAGTCGGCTTCAAAAAAGTCCACATACTCTGGAATACCATGAGGACTCAGGGTCTTTAACACCTGGGCCTCTCTCTCGAAGAGCTGGACGTCTTCCCTTGCTGACATCAATGAAAGGGCCTTGACCGCAACCCTATTTCCTTCCTTTGTCTCAGCTTCGTAGAAGTTTCCCAGACCACCTCGCCCTCCCAGGAACCCCTTGATGACATACCCCCCTTCTTTCAGGGAGTCCCCAATGCCATGACCAATTTCAATAGCTTCACTACCCCTGACCTGTTGTTGTGGAGGTGCCGTCCCCGCCACCCCTCCCCCAGGTGTCAACGCAGCCCATGGCACGGTTACCTCAATGGACCTCTCCATCGTATCAACTCCTTCGAATCTTGCCTTCCTCCTCAGAGCGCCTAGGCCTACCTCCCTCTGTCTGGACCGCCTACTGAAAATGTTGCCCTTTTCCAGCTGACCAACTTGAGTCCACGAGTTGATTAGGTGCCTTCGGCTGTACGCATAAAACAGCAGCTGTCAATGAGATGGGCTGGAGGCGGGTGGGGGGGATACGGAAAGGACCATGATCCATCATCCATGAAGGAGATAATAAACCATCACAAGGTTATAATCAGCCATCTGAACGATGTTACTTCGATGTCACGAGAAGTATTCTTCTTGTTCCATGTTTAGTAAGCCCATTACCACATTCATATAATCATAAGAATAGGGGTAACTAGTGCGCAGTCAAAAAATCAGTTGGAAAATGCACTCCAGGCATCCCCGAACATAACACACCCCCATTCCACATTTTCAGGCCTGTTGCCTGAAATGCATTTTCAAACTCAAACCCTGACTATGCCGTTGTTTTCTTAATAATAATGATAATAATAAAGGGGCCATTGATCTGCAAGTCAGCATTTTGAGAGTGGAAAGGGGACGACCCTTGCAAGGAGTGATGTCATCTCTCTTTCTTTCTCTGAAAGTCTCTTTTTTTTTTTTTTGGGAAAATTTTCGAAATGCCCCCGCAGTTTGCGTTTATTTGCGGCGTGCCCCTGTGAAGGCCGACTTACCCTGTGGTGCCCCTCGGGCCTCTGAAATTTTCCGCAGGCCCGCATGAGCTTGGGGCATAACTTTCCGATATGCCCTTACTGGACTGCTGGTGGCGTTTCGTCGGTCCGTCCTTGAAATGCCCTCACGAGGGGCACACATCTTTCTGTGATGCCCTTGCAGCAGTGGTGGCAGGAATTCGAATTCGAAGTGGTAGGCATTTCACGCCCCGCCACGGAAAAACGGTGCAGCAGTGAGCCTTCGAGTTCGCTGCGTGGGTGATCTATGTGTTGGAGTGCATACGGCTACTGTGCGAAGGGGAGCGTGTGGGCGCGTGTGTGTGTGTGTGTGTCCATGCTCATCGCCCTCCTCCCTCCTCCTCCATCCATGCTCATCGCCCTCCTCCCTCCTCCTCCTCCGTCCTCGTCGCTCTCCTCTCTTCTCATCCAGTCTCCATCCTCTATCCTCGTCCATCATCGTCAGTCCTTGTCCTCCCCACTCTTCCCCTCATCTTCCCTCGTTCCTCCCTCCTCCAACTTTCTCCTCGTCACCCCTCCCCCTCCTCGTCCTCGATTGTCGACCTCCTAACCATCACCATGGCCGTCTTCTTAGCGTCATCACCCATGCACGCGCGCGCGTCTGCATATGTGTGTGTGTGTGTGTGTGTGTGTGTGTGTGTGTGTGTGTGTGTGTGTCTGTTCGTGTCATCTTTTCGTTTAGTTGTTGGTTGGACAGGTGGTATATGAATGACGAATCGAAGGTGTTTGTCATTCGTTTTTCAGTCATTCGGTGTGTGTGTGTGTGTGTGTGTGTGTGTGTGTGTGTGTGTGTGTGTGTGTGTGTGTGTCCATCGTCATCGCCCTCCTCCCTCCTTGTCCGTCATCGTCATAGTCCTTGTCCTTCCTACTCCTCTTCCCTCCTCTTCCCTCGTTCCTCCCTCCTCCAACTTTCTCCTTGTCACCCCGCCCTCACCCCGCCCTCTCCTCCTCCCCGATTGCCGACCTCCTAACCATCACCATGGCCGTCTTTTTGGCGTCATTGCCCAAGCAACCGCGCACGTCTGTATATGTTTGTGTGTGTGTGTGTGTGTGTGTGTGTGTGTGTGTGTGTGTGTGTGTGTGTGTGTGTGTGTGTGTGACAGTCCTCCTAACCATCACCATGGCCGTCTTTTTGGCGTCATTGCCCAAGCAACCGCGCGCGTCTGTATATGTGTGTGTGTGTGTGTGTGTGTGTGTGTGTGTGTGTGTGTGTGAGAGTCCATGCTCATCGCCAAATTTCTGATATGCCCCGGTAGCACCTGAGCCGGGGCCAGGGGAAAGACTGCGAGTGTCAAGAACGGCCACAAGGGCTCGCTGGAAAGATGGACGGTACCAATAAGGGCATATGGGAAACTTTTGTGCTGGTTCTCAACGGCCATCCCGTAGGGGCATACTGAAAATTTGGTACTGGTACCAGTAGGGGCATATGAAACATGTTCGAGGCCCAAACGACGCAAGGGGTTTTCTGGAAACATCATTCATCGTCAGAGGGGCACGACAAGGTAAGTCGGCCGTCAGAGGGGCACGCCGCAAATAAACGCAAACTTCAGGGGCATTTCGAAAATTTTCCCTTTTTTTTTTTTTTTTTTTTTTCATTCTGTGAATTAGAATGCCCATTGTTGTCAGAGAAAGGGACGACAAGGTAAGTCGGCCGTCAGAGGGGCACGCCGCAAATAAACGCAAACTTCAGGGGCATTTCGAAAATTTTCCCTTTTTTTTTCTTTTTTTTTTTTCATTCTGTGAATTAGAATGCCCATTGTTGTCAGAGAAAGGTGCCATCGAGCCACCCGTCTTTGTCATCTTCGGCACCCTTCCTCTTCTGACACAGTGTACTTCCTTCCAGCTTACCCAACCACAGAAAAGAAAAGGGAAAATTTTTGAAATGCCCCTCCTACTTCCATTCATTTGTGTATGCCCCTTTGTTAGTGGACTTACCCTGTTGCACCCCTCTGACAAAAAAAAAAACTGGGCTTGTTTGGGCCTGAAATATGTTCAATATAAACCTTTGGTTCCAAATTTCCAGTATGCCCCGACAGCTCCCCTCCCAGGGCCAGGGGAACGGCGGCCAGTGCCACCAACGGCCAAAGGGGCATGCTGAAAAGTTGCACCCCTCACTGACAGGGGCCTGCAGGAGACTTCAGAGGCCCCAGGGTCAGGACAGATAAGTCGGCCGTAGGAGGGCATACCGCAAATAAATGGAAGTCGAAGGGGCATGTCGAAAAATTTTCCACAAACAAGACACAAAACAACTGCATCTTCTTGTTCTGGCCAGAAGGAGACGGAGCAGTTGTCTTCTTTGTTTTTTTTTTTTTACCTGTAGTTGGGTAAGCGGGAAAACTACGGTGCTTACCCATCCTTTTCAACATCCCCTTCTTTCCAAACACATTCCACTCGCCCTTTCTCTTCTTTCCCTTTTTCTCCTCGTACTCCTCGTTCTCTATCCATCCAGTCGTTGCAGTACAAGCCTATACTCTCTCCTCTCCTCCTCCATCTTCGTCTTCCTCGTCGCTTTGTAGTGGATGAGTTATAGAGATGGGAGGAGGGGGGAGACAGGAGGCCTACCTATATATATATGTATATAAATATGGCCTACGTATATATGCTGTGCCTCTAGTGCCAGCGGCGTGTCTGGAGTGTATTTTTTGGCTGTGACAGACCTTTCTTTGTTTCGTGGATGTTTTGCTGGCTTGTGATGGGGTGTGAACCGACAGTCTGTAGAGTTTTCCATCTGGT